AAGCATCAGTAAATGCTAGCAAATTCATGATAGTCGTTATTAGGTAGATCCAATAAAATCACTCTACTGATATTAAAGAAAATATATAAAGGTCTTATAGAGCTATTAAGAATGTACCACTGTAAAACAGTTACTAAGAGCAACATCTGCAGTTAAGCAAGCACAGAAATAGTTCCTATTTGATATCTTCTTCAAATTCTTTAAAAAAGGACCCTCTCCCTTCTTCACAGAAGAGCACAAAGTTTTCCATATTTCAAGCCTGTTTTGGGAACTGGATTTCAGATGACATCTTAGTGCATGAAAAATATTGGGGGCATACAGAATCTTAGAGAGGCTTTTTTTTTTTTTTTTTAATTATGGTTTCAGCTATTCAAGTTTGCACAAATTTAAATGGTGTGAGGGAAGGAACAGCTTGGATCCTCCCTTTGTTTCCACCTTGTCTTGCTTGCAGCTATACCCCCCCAGCAGACACAGGTTCTGCCCTAGCCAGGGCAGGATTCTTCAACTTGTCAGTGATTCTGCAAACACCATCATCCAAATCAGTTGGTCTATTGCTACGTTTCATATCCTATTCATATAAATCATAAGCATTGAATCTAATGCCAGCAGTAGACCACTACAAGGGCTAGGATGGAAAGATTAACAATCTTCTGGCACCAAACAACAGAACAAACTCAGTGCAGAGCGAAGTGCCGGGGCCCTACGTCCTACTGTATCTGCACTATGCAGAGAGACAAAAAGCCCCCGTGACTCTCTCATCGCTGGGCGAGATCATCACGCGCTGCACAGAATAAAGGTTAAAATCCATCATGTAGCCAGAAACTCTATCAATATTGCACCTGGACATTCCTACGGTTGTTTGGGTTTTTTTAAAATCTTCATAAAGATTTAAGCTCAGACGATTGTCATGTTCTGTCAATTTTTCTTGCACATTCAAAGATAACTCAAAATCTAGTTTAATTATGAGGTAGCTTTAAGAAAAAAATAAAGTACTACATCCTCCAAAATGGGGGATAATCTTTGTGCCCCACAACAGACTCGAACTTGTAATCATTTCACAGAGGTGTTCAAATTGATCTGAAAAGCTCTCTACCATTGTAAAAGGAGAGCTTTTCTAACACCAAAACTGTTTGCATTAGATTGTTTTTTCCTGTTGAGGAAGGTCATTACTGAAAACACCACTTCTTTATTACCGCCAAAAAACTAATCTTAACCACAGATGCCCTCTTTTCACATTTACCCATCGAATCCAGCTAGCTAGCTGTTTTACACCATCAGCTAACCTCAAAGCCAACCATCTTCTATGTAAAACCAAAAGCAACAGCAACCTCTTTAGTAAATACCATGATCCCTTTTCAGCACAAAGCTTACAAAATATTTTGTTCAAGCATTATTTTAAATTATGTATTTAAAATAATCCAGTGTCAGGCACCTTGGAGAAGGATCAGTAGCTTTTTGAAAATATCATGTAAAGTCTCAAAGCCATCGTAAAGGAGATAGGATGACCAACATGGTCACGTTTTAGGAGACATAGTGTAATCTCAGAAGACCAGGCTTTTTTCTTTTCTATCAGGCTAAAACAGTTATGTAACTAAACATCAATCAAAAGGCCTACCTAGAACAAGATTAAGTTTGCAAAAGGTAGGTTATTTTTTAAGTTTTTGAACTTAGAAATGCCTGAGTTAGCAAGCTACTTTTTCTGAAAGCAATTTTGCATGTAATGTATTATTGATCTCCTTTCAGATTCTTAATCATTAGCAAAATAGTGACAATTAAATAAGTATAAATAAACTGATCTTCTAAAGCCACAGCCTTCAGTGACTTGAGATAATTGGATAACTTCATTAACTCAGAAGATGGATGTAATGCATCAGTAGCTAGGACACAGATTAGAAGGTTCAGAGTAAAAATGATCACAAAAGCTCCTGGAATTTATGGCTACTTTATTTGGCAGAGGCCAATCACATAAATTTATTCTTAATTAAGAAAATTACAGGTGTTAATTTATACTATCTGGCTGCAACAGTTTAATTTTCACATCCTTGCATACACACATGCAAATTATTTATAACTTCTTTGATAGCATTTTACCAAAGTTATATCTTGTGATTTTAATAACATCCTATCCCAGCACTTGAAGCAAAAAACCCAACAACCACCAAACAAAAAAACCCCCAAAAAACGCAACAAAACTTTTTAAAGTTCCAGTTGTGGTCTTTCCATGAAATCCTTGCAGTCTAAAAAACACCATTCCAGTAAGTTAAAATGCATCCCCCCCTGTGCAATATCATACAAACACATTAAAAAGATGTCCTTACCTCTTCAGCAGCCATCGAACAAAGATGCGTGGAAGTAAACTGCTTTTAAGAGATGAGTAGCACTCTTATTATTTATTTATCTTTCCTTAAAGAAAACTGGCGGCTGTTCTCCACCCTCCTTCCTTCGGGCACCAAAATTAGACTGATGTATGTACAGAGGAGCATCCCCAAAACAGCTAAAAGCAAATGCACTCAAAGAAGAGCTCTAGCATTACAACAGCTTTTGCCAAGTCTCTGGTTTTGTTACCAGCAACAGCAACTAGCAAAGAGAAGTTATTCATTTTTCTAAGGTTAAAAAAAGACTCAGCACAAGAAACTATACAAGCTGACTGATATCAGCAAAATACGCTCAGTCTCCTGCTTCACACACAGGAAGAGAAGTGGCTTCGAGTTCTACATCATTTCTTTTTCTGATACTATTGATGTGAAAATACTACTAACCTCAATCTCCCTAGGACTTGCACAGAAAACA